GGAAAGAGGGGTAGACACAGAAACGGGCACAAGTACAGACATGAATAGAGAAAGAAGCAAGAATGGCATCTGCTTAATGGAGAGGAGGGGCGTGGCAAGGGTATGCAGCTACGTCCCAGCAGTGGGCACTCCAGCCGGCTCCTCTCTGACTCACATGGGAGCATGGGAACACCTGCACAGTCGGGGACTGGGAGCGCGACAGCCTGGATATAACCCCACGACCTCAAAGGTGAGAGCCTGGGAAGACGTAACAAGGAGTACCTTCCAGGGCTGCTAAATGCACCAAATGCACGCATGGCCAGAAATGGCGGTCATGGGTCTGAGCCATGCTTGCTGAACTTACAATAAATACCTCAACCGCAGAGTTTGTGCAGAGTTTGTATCCCTGACTTCCCTCACGCTGAACACTGAACGAATTTAATTACCTGGGAAGACAAAGAAAACCAAAGAGCTTCTCCCACTTGCATACACAGGCATAAATTTTCAGGCAGGGTTACCCCTTATGGAGCACAGCACAGAGCCCCAAAGACTAGGGCAGCAGCCGGCAGGTGCTGATGTGAGGAGGAGGGGAGAGGTGACCTTTTCTTAGAAATGGCCATGAGCAGGGATGCCTTGCTGTGGACCAAGTACTAAGATGAGAAGAAAGGGAACCCTCCCGGCACCCCCCTGGGACACAGAATTCTGTCCAGACACCCTCCCCGGCCCTGCTGAGAGGACGTCGCCACAGAAAGCACAGCTGTACCTGGATTTCGTCCGGTGTGTTAAGGAAATGGCGCGGCAGAAGGCTGGGGATCATTCCAACGTTGTTGACTGCCGGGGGAGGCAAAACAAAAGATGTCAGAAGAGCCAGTGGCAAATGTTTGTTGAAAACCTTAAAAACAGTTATACTCAACCCAGAAATTCTTCTCTTGGAAAGTGTTTTTAAGAAAATACCTTCATGCCTGGCCAGCGTGACTCGTGGTTGAGTGCCCGCCTATGAACCTGGAGATCAGGGTTTCATTCCCGGTCAGGGCACGTGTCCAGGTTGCGGGCTCCATCCCCAGTAGGGGGCGTGCGGGAGGCAGCCGATCAATGATTCTCTCTCATCATGGATGTTTCTCTCTCTCCCTCTCCCTCTCCTTTCCTCTTTGAAATCAATAAAAAATATTTTTTTAAAAAAAGAAAATACCTTCAACAAGATTGATACCCGAGGTCGTTCATTGCGACATGATTTGATGATTGAACAGATCCGAGGGAGGAGATCCTGGTCCAGGGATAGGAGGCACATGAAGGGAATGGGGTGCAGCCCGCCTGGAGCGCAGTGCAGTCACTCACAACCACGGCTGCCCAGCTGAAGGCAGGGGAAAGCGTGTGTAATGAACGGCTTTTAAAAATGCACAACACACAGACGGGACAGGTGGTGATGGAAAGAACAAAATTTAAAACAAGTAAATATGTAAATAAATATGTGTAAACATGTAAGTTCCATGTAAACATATGAGAATATGTATCTGGAAAGATATGCACCAAAATGCTCTCTCGGGCCGTCAGAATTTTAAGAAATTCATAATTCTCTTATATGCTTCTCTATTCTTTCCAGTTTTTCTGCAACGATATATTTTTCATTGTTATTAGTAAAAAGAATTAGTAATTATTTTTTTAAATTCCGCAGGAACTTTAGAAATCAAACCTTCTTTCTATGCACAATACAGACATTGTACTGTGTACGTAGTGATGAAATAGCGTGTTTATAATCATCACAGAAAAAACATCGTCTTGTGTCCTGAATAAGGTGGTCAATTCGCAAGTACGCGCACTGCGCTGCCATTTCATGGGTCAAACACAGACAAGCTTGTTGGGTAAATGTCGTCCTTCAGGCGAGTGTTTCTGAGGTTCCCTCTTCCCGCCGAGTGTCAGTGTCAGTCAGTGAGAGAACATTCGTCCTCTCTGACATTAGGAAAGGCGGTCGGGAAGGTTGAAATATGTACGTCTGACACATTCTAAAGCTATATATAAATCTGTTAGTCAGGTAACACCTCCTGAAGAACTGAACTTTAAAAGTCGTTAATGCTACAGCTTAAAACACGGTTATGGGTTACGCTCAAGCCACCGTGGGATAATCAAGGGTCACCGAGGCAGTTATGGCACTGACGTATTACACCACGCTTTGAGCATTGCAATTTGCTTACCTAAAATTCCAATTTCTAAGCCTTTGAGTTCTTCTTTAATATCCTCATAGATGTCGTCCTTGGTGAAATCTGCTTGTATGATCCTCACACTCCTCCCTGTAGTGCGCTCTGCATTCGAGACAATGTTACTCTTCAGTGATCACGAGTCCAAATCCCCTCTTGCCCGTGGAGTTCCCCTGCACTCCCACGCAGCCTGAGCGACGTTTATGAGCACAAGCCCACCACCCCATTAGAGATGAGAAGTAGCCCGGATAAAGCTGGCAGGTGCTAGAGGGGTGAGTCTGAGCGTTACCACAGTAACAAGTACACGCATTAGATTTAACGCAGTGATTCTCAAAACGGGGTCCCCAGAACATAGCATCAGACCACCAGCAACTGGTTAGAAACACAAAACTTCAGGCTCCTCCCGGGACCTAGAGAACCAGGCACCCCTGGGAGGCCCAGGGGTCTTCTGCACCCGCGCCCCAGCTGACTCTGTTGCTCGCTCTGTAGAGAGGCCTGGCCTAAGGGCTGCAGGCACAGTGTGATGCCCCCTGTGCCGCGCCGGGTCCCTCCAGAGATACAGCCACCCTCTGCATTTGCCCAACACGTTAGCATTCACCAAGCTTTTACCTGCACCATCTCCTACTTTAATCCTCTCTCCAAACGTGCCAAGTAGGTGCTGTCCGCATTTTCCAGAGGAGAAACCAGCTGAGACGCTAATGCCTTGCCCGAGGCACCCGCACTGCTCCTGGCCAGGCCCTGCCACTCTCCCACGTGAACTAGCCTCGTGCGGTGAACTTGCCTGTGCAGGAGCTCAGCCAGATGTGGAAGCAGCACAGATGTCACCAGCTGCCCCTCTCAGCTCTGGAGCCAGACCCAATATTTCTGGGACAAGTGATGTTGAGGCATAATTTGGGGGTGGGGGTGCTTTCGGACTGAAGACTCTGCTTGCTCTTTAAGAGGCCGATGAAAATCACACTTTAGCATTGCGGGAGGAGCACTGAAGAATGCCCGAATTCTGGTCAGAGTTACCTCTGATATCCAGACACAGAATTCATGGGCCCAAGGGCACTGAGCCTCCCCATCTGCCTCCTGATGCCCCAGGGACACAAACTGTCCCCCAGGCGGCCTGCCGTGGTTTCCCAAGTCTTTATCATTAAAGGCCTATTACTTTGAGTTAAGGAGTGTATTAATTACTAAATTAATAATTGATCATTAAAATGCAAGTCCCAAAAAGGGATACTGTGGTCGTCATTAGCTAAGGACACTTCAGAGGGGTCATGATAATAACACGCTGCCCTGTGAGTGCGGCCTCCCCGCGTTGTGCAGTGCAGTCTTCACAGCCTCACAGCAGCCCTGGGCCAAGCCTTTTTTTTTTAAATCTGATTGTCACCACGAAGCGTCGCCCCTACCCTTCCTGCACGGAGCAGAGCACAGACACGTGGAAGGGAAGTCCCATGGCGAGTGGCAGAAGCCATCAGCAAGCTGGGCCTCTGGACGGGGAGGCCTGATTCTAGAGATGAGGACGCAGGACCAGACAAGAGAGAAGACCTACTGGCGCTGCTTCTGATCCTGCCTCGCCCGCCAGAGACTCAGCGGTGAACGAAGTGCCCCCTTCACAGCCCGCAGTAGCTTTCTAAACTGAGCTCCAGCAGAAGGGCCTGCGCCCCAGGCTCCAGGGAGCAGGTGGGGATGCTGGCGGTGCCTCTGCAGGCAGGACCAGAGCAGACCTGACCAGAGGGCTCACAGACACTTCCCTCATTCCTTGGGGTCGCTCACCAATCTCCACGGCAATAGCCTGTAGTTTTTCCAGCGTCCGGCTGATCAGCACAACGTTGAGGCCTTGTCTTGCTAGCTGGGATGGGAAAACCAAGAGAGAAGACAATCAGCAGACAGGAAGGCTTGACTGAAAGGTGAATTGGGGCATCACCCACTGGGTCCCCAGGCGAGGTGCTTGCTTTTTCTGGGTTTAAATGTGCAGACATTTCTGGGTTCTGAGCAAAACAGCCGCCCTGGGCCAGGCTAAACATGACATAATCCTGTGTGTGTTTATGACATGCGAGGAACTAGTCCACGTTCTCTTTTGTACAGACCACAGCCTGACGCCCTCTCATCGGGAAGGCTTGGGCGTGGACTGGTGCTGAAAATCAGGATTTGGAAGATGCTATACGATCATAATATATAAAAAGCCAGGGGCCATCACAACCAAAACAACCGGATGGATGACTGAACAGTAGGCTGGGTGGGGCAACCAGGTCGGCAGCGGGGGGC